CTTCCCTTTTGCCAGAGATTTTCAAGGAAAAGCTGGACAGGTGTTTGTCATGGATATTGTAGGAATCATTTAAGTTACAACTGTATAATGGTAGAACCAAGTGACCACTAAGATGTTGCCTGATGATGAGATTCTTGAGTTTTTTGGTTTACAACTTTTACGTTAAATGATGACAAGAAGAAGAAACTGAAATTCAAACTTGAATCACACCTTATTTTTCCATGGTCAGCTCTTACTGGATTTAATGTCAACATTAGAAAGCCACCAGAAGTCTGTGTTTATCAACGTCCATGTGTCCAGACCCTGCTGGGGCAGCAAGTGACCAGCATGTCGACCGTCAGCTTGTCCCCGTCAGAGGGCCTGATAGCTTTGCTCATCCGGGGTCTTCTGAGTCTCAAGTGTGAAGACTTGACTGAATCTTTCTTCCTTATGAAGCCAGCCCAGCATGGGACAGTGACAGTGAAGAAGCTAACTTGAAGGTTGCCAAGTTTAATTTCACTGGACTGGACTGTCCTGTGTCCTCAAGTCCTGGCTCACACTTACAGAATCAGCAAAGCCTCTCGGGGCTCTTATCTGGACGGTTAGCTCAGCTTTTAGAACCTTCAACACACGGCTGCCAAACCAAGTTCAGTTAACCAACGAACTGCCCTTGGTCAACAAAATATCTTTTTCAGCTGTGTATAAAATCGAGCTCATGTAAGGAGCGCCAGGGGCCCGTCAGCACTTTAGCAGCCCCAGGCCCCTCCCCCCCTGTGCCTGTGCCGGCTCTTGCCTCGAGCCCATGGAGTTGTGGGGGCAGCGGGAGCAGCTGCTTCCTCAGATGAGTGGGAAAGCGGCTGCTTAGGCCCTTCCCCGAGAAGCTGTGTGTGCACCAACACCTGTTGGGTATGAGGACTGACATCGCATCCTGAAGAGGAGGGCTTCAAAGACAACCGGTTTTAGTCTATGCAAGGAAACTTAGAAATTCCCTTAGAAGCAATTGAATTAGTGTTAAATTTCCCTGACGAGCTTGTGCTTTTTTTTTTATTATTTTTTTATTACTAGTTGGTTTGCTCTAACCAGGATTCAAGCAAGGTTCACACATTGCTTTGGGTAGATATGTCTCTTAAGTTCCTTTTGGGAAATTCCTTCTCCTTCCTTGAATTCATAAATGTATTTATTTTCAGTCATGTTTACAATGGTAAGTCCTTAGATTTTATTTGAGGTTGCTTTAAAGTCCTAACAGTGCTATTATTGTTGTGTTCTTATAATAAAAATAATATGTGCCTAACCAAGAAAAACTGGAATATAAAAAGTATGAAAACTGCATTTTGATTTTATCATCCCCAGATAACTGTCAAGCCTCAGGGCTCATTTCTCCTGACCTATGTTTATTGAGTGACAGTGTTTACACACTAAGTATCTCCTGTGCTATGAGGATAGTTTCTCCTTTTTACTTGGTTCTTAAAGTAGAAACTCAGGTTTCCATAATTTTTTGCTTTCTAATGTAAATACATAAACTATGACTTTCACTTTAAGCATCTGAATTTTTATCATCAACAGTTAGAACTATTTTCTAATTTTCCTTGGGATATATTTGTTTTATTGAAAAATGTATTACTTAATTTCCAAGTATTTGGGGGATTTTCTAGATGTTTTATTAATTTCTAATTTAATACTCTGTATAATTATTTTGTGGCCTTGCATATAAATCACTCTAGGCATAGGCCATCATCCATGCTCTGCAGGTATTGGGTATAGAGACCTTTAAATGTTGGTTCAGGCATCTCCACAGACAAGAGAGCGAAGCTGTACCATCAGGTCACCTATGAAAGTTAACTAAAAATGAATTAGAACACACCTAGGTGAGGTCAGACTCACCTGCCGGAGCAGGGGTCAATGCAGCTCTTCATGACCTTGGAGTGGGCACGTTTTTTTTTTTAGCTGTGACACCAAGGCACTAGCAACAAAAGAACAAAGTCCACAAACTGGAATTCATGCTGACAGAGTGTGCTTCAGAGGACGACATCGAGAGTGAAGGACAGCGCTTAGGGAAGAGTGCTGCCATCCGAGCCTGCTCAGGAGTACAGAGAGGACCCAACGGAGAAAGGGGCCAAGGGTCCGAGCAGACATTTCCCCAAAGAAGACCTGGCCTTGGCCCGGGAGCTCGTGAGACCAGAGGGAAATGCAGACCAAAACCGCAAGGACACAGTTGTACCCAACCCGGATGGTTCGTTAAAAGACAAAAGCCGATTGTCACAGGTGCTGGCCAGCAGGTGGAGCAGCTGTCTCCCCTTGCTGCTGATGGGCATGTCAGTGGTGCCATTGCCTTAGAAAACTGGGTTCTTCAAAGGATTCAACATGAGTCATCATACATCCTCGTGATTCTCCTCCTCCATATGTACCCGAAGAAGTGACAACATTCTACCCAGAATCTCTTACACAAATGTTCACGGCAGCATTATGTAACCAAAAAGTGGACCCAAAGTCCATATATCCATAAGCTGATGAATGGAGAAACCCAATGTGGTTTGTCTATGCAATGGGCTGTTAGTTGGCAATATAAAGGAATGAAGTACAGGTGTGGGGGACAGCACACAGGACCCTTGAAAGCCTTTTGTGTAAAAGAAGCCAGTCACAAGACTGTGCTTTGAAAATTCCACTTATATGGGATACCCAGAACAGGCAAATCTGCAAAGACAGGAAGTAGATTAGTGGTTACCTAAGGTTGGCAGTGGTGGTGTTGGGGACATGGAGGGTCACTGCTAAAGGGTGTGGGTGATGAAAATGTTTTGTGATTGATGGTTGCACAGCTCTGTGAATGTACTCAAAGCCATAGACTCGTATGCATGCTTCAGAGGGCAAGTAGTGTGGTGTGCACACCATATCTCAGGTAGGATGTTACAGATTAAACCAGGAAGACCGACAGCTGAGGGCAAGGGTCCTCAGCATTATTTAGCAACTGTTGACTTGAGGGGAAGACCTTCTCAGATGGAGTCAACGGACTTGAACCGGTCAAGCCCAGGGGGCAGGTGGGCATGGAGTGGCTTTCCATGTTGGAAGGGTTCACTGTTTACCAGTTTGCAAAACAGTATGACGTTAACAGGAGAACGGTGTCTTAGGTGAAGTCTTAGGCATGCAAAAGAAAGGCCACTGGGTCCAGTTGATGGACCATGCTTTTCCTCTCTCTATTCCTGGTTTATTTCTTCTCTTTGGTCAGTTTTTGCTGCAGGTGGTTTGGAGTTCTGTACTAGGTGCTGTGCATTCAAGGTGACTGCTCCTCCTAGTGCGTCTGAACCTCTTGTCACAGAGCCGCCCTGTTTATCCCGGAGGTCAGATGTCAACACGGCCCTCTTCGCTCTCTGGTACTCAGGGGTACACTTCATATCTCTGCCTCACGTGGGTACATGCAGCTTTCCTGTATCTTTGAATGTGAAGTGCTTTTCTTATAAACGATATAGTTGAGTTTTTAAAAAATCTTACTGATAGTTCTTGCTTGTCAGTGGTATGTGGAGTGTCATACTCAGTGTAATCACATGGCTGGGCTCAAATCCGCTGTCTTGGGGCTGTTTTTTAGTGATCCCGCCTGCTGTTTGTCTTTCTGTTCCTCCCCTCCTGCCTTTCTGGGCTGGTCAGGAGTTCCCAAGCACCCTAGTTTGCCGGTAGCCCAGCTGCCAGCGGGTGGGGCCGATGGGGAGTCGACCTTGCTGAACTCCATCCGCCTCTTGGAAAGTCTCTGTCCTGCTGCTCTGTGACTTTGTGCTTGGTGAAGACCCAGGTTCTCGGGGGTCTTTCTGCTCTTGTCCTGTTCCGTGCTGCTTTCATCAGCCAAGCTGGGGTCCTGCAGGACCTCGTGTTCTGGGCCACCTTTGCTGTGTGGCACCTGCACCTGGGGCCAGCTCCATGCCCAGGACTGACTGGTGAGCACGGATCTGCCCTTGGATCAGGGCTCCTCAGGTTAGGACCCCTCCCCTCAGCAGCTGCTCAGTTTGTTGAAGTCCTGCTGGTCTCTCCTGCTCCCCTCCTGTCCGAGATGAAGGTGGCTGTGCACCTGTTTTATGGAAAGATGTCATTTGTATGTGGAATTTAGTATGTTTTAAAAGAAAATCTATGGTTTTGTGACTTATTCAACTTCTTGTTAGAGACTCTGGTTATCTTTAAATCTTATATTTTAAAGATTATATGTCAGCTGGATGTGATGGTGCACACCTGTAACCCAGCAACTCTGGAGGCTGAGGCAGGAGGACTGCAAGTTCAACACCCGCCTCAGCAACTTAGTGAGACCCTTTCTCAAAATAAAAAAAATAAAGAAATAAAAAGGGCTGGCTGGAGATGTGACTCAGTGGTAAGCGTCTCTGGGTTTGATCCCTACCTCCCCATCCCCAAATCATGCCAAAGAAAACGCTTTCAGACATCTGTGGTTAGTGTGTTGCTTTGTGACGGCCAGGCTCCTAGTGAGAAGTGCCCGAGAAGCCCGCAGAGGGCCGTGGGGCCAGGGCCGATGTGGGCACACGAATGCCCTAGTCATGCATGGGACCCACAGTGGCTCACAAGTAGGCGTGGCAGGCTGGAGCACAGGCAGTTCACCCACAAGGGACAGAGAGAAAGCACAGTGGTCAGGTGTGCAGCCTGCGCAGCGAGCACTGTGCAGTGGAGGAGTTCAGGATATGAGCCAGTGCGCTCGGAGTTCCTGGGGTCAATCCAGCAGGCCCCGGTCCTGTGGACCTGGGTGCAACCCTTCCTCAGAGTCCTTCAGATGATTTAGCTTTTACATTCTTTTTACTTTGTGTTCTTTCTCCTTCCTTCCCTCCCTCTTCTTTCCTTCTGTCCCTTTCCTTCCCTCCCTCCCTCCCTCCCTTCCTTTCTTCTCTCCCTGCCTCCGTTCCCCCTTCCTCCCTCCCCTCCCTCCCACCCTTCCTCCCTCCCCTCCTCCTTCCTTCCTTCCTTCTCTCCCTCCCACCCTCCCTCCTCTCCCTCCCCTCCTCCTTCCTTCCTTCCTTCCTCCCTCCCTTCCCTCTTCTTTCCTTTATTTTTGTGACTGGTGATTAACCTAGAGGTGCTCTTCCCTGGAGCCACATCCCGACCTTGAGATAGGGTCCGGCCAAATTGCCCAGCCTGGCCTCCAACTTGTATCCTCCTGCCTCAGCCTCCTGTGTTTCGGGATTACAGGTGTGCACCACTGTGCCTGGCTTTGTACCATCTTTTAAGATTCAGCAGAACAATGCTGGGTGTGCTTGATGCCTGTCTGTAATCCCAGGGACTCAGAAGCTGAGGCAGGAGAATGCAAGTTGGAGGCCAGCCTAGGGGGGAATAAAGATTTGGTGGAAGAATTTTGCCTGAGTAAGATGCTGTGCTCTCTGGAGTCCAGGAGGACTGAGCAGAGGAGAAGCAGACATTGAGTCACCAACGGAATCACAGGGCTTGATTTCTTTTTTGTTGTAATTTCTCAAACATTCATAAAAATATATAGAATAATGAATCCATGCTTCCAATACCTATTGAAACAATCCAGTCTTATTTTTCCTATTCACTTTATTTTTTTATTTTTTGGGTAATAGGTATTGAACCCAGAGGTGCTTAACCATGAGCCACATCCCCAGCCCTTTTTATTTTTTGTTTTGAGACAGGGTCTCACTAAGTTGCTTAGGGCCTTGCTAAGTTGCTGAGGCTGGCTTTGAACTTTTGATCCTCCTGCCTCAGTCTCCCAAGTTGCTTGGATTACAGGTGTGTGCCACCATGCTTGGCCCTACCCGCTTTACTAAAAAAATATTTTTTATCACCAGAGAAAAGCTAATTGCAGGTATCTTGTCTCATTTTATCTGTATATGGCTATCCCTTTCTTCTTTCCTTTCTTTCTTTCGTAGATGGACACAATGCCTTTATTTATTTATGTGGTGCTGAGGATCAAACCCAGGGCCTATCACATGCTAGGCAAGGGCTCTACCACTGAGCCACAGCCCAGGTCCTATATTGTTTTCTATAGGAAAATAATTTAACATGATTATTGTGATACATCTAATACATTTAATAATTATTTCAGCATCTTTCAAAAGTTGCGATGTCCTGGTCAGTTCCTCTAGCTACTTACAAACACTAAGAAAAGTTAACTTCACATTCCTAATGTTATCCAGATAATATTTTATTGATTTCTAAAATTTTGAGTTTTTTATTGCTCAATAATTCCTTCATAGGTCATAGGACGACTTAAGATAAAACTTGTTTTTTTTTAATAAATAAATTTGATAAACATTCTATACTTGATCCTCATGATGATTTACAAAGCAGGTTATGGTAAGCAGAATTCTGGAAAGTTTGGCAATAAAGACTTAACTGGCTTCACCAGGAATTTCCTAAATGTATTTGACCTGAAAATATGTTTTTTGTGTAAAATCTATTAGCCATAATACATTCTGGGGAATTTTGTTATAGGCAGGCAAATGCTGCCTTTGAATATCAAACTAGAAATGTTTAACATTGTTTAAATTTCAATTAGATAATTATTGGTTCATTTTGCATTATCATTGTAATCAAATAACATTTGGGTTTTCCACACAACCCTCTTAATATTAATAATATAGTGTAACAGGTCATCCTCCTTAGGGGCTTTTACTCTGGAAATCTTTCATCACACTGCATAATCCAATGAAGTATTCACGTATTTTTCTACTTTAAAAAGGTATTTATCCACTCCTTCCATAAGGAAAGATAAATGCACTAGTATTTTTTTGAGGGGAGGCTGGAGATGAGATGTACAGATGTCAAGGAGGTGCGCCTGAAGCCTGCAGGGAGCAGCTGGACAGTCTCTACTTGTGAAGAATTGCTTAGAAATGACTCTTACAGGGTATCAGCGAAGGCAGCAGCACAGACGTTGGCACAAATGGTACACCGACATTTCCATGCACTCTGAAAATATGTTCACTTACAAAATGTGAAGGGGCTAACAGGCCAGATGGAACTGATCTGTAGTAAAAGAACAAGTCCCAATCTGTCCCCCTCTGCTCACTGGTGGTACCAAGTGGGCAGGGAGCTGTGAGCAATGTGCGGGGCTCTGAAGCTCCTGCTCTAGCACAGTGGCCCCCACCCACCCTGATCCAGTGGCGCTGCCCTTCAGGGGGCTGGTGGGTGGCAGGCACCATGGTCCTGTTTGTGTTGTGCTATGGCTCTTCTCTCTCTGGTGCCACAAGAGTAATTTCCCCTTTATTTACAGTCAAGCTCCAGCTTCAAGCCGAAGACCGAGGGGTTGTGTCCATCAAGGGATTGTGTGCAAACCGATACCTGGCCATGAAGGAGGACGGGAGGCTCCTGGCTTCTGTGAGTAATGCCTGGCTTTGCAGGTGGCGCCTGGGGCGCATGCGGCTGCTCATCCACTGGCCTTGGCATTTACTAAATCTGTTAGGAGTCCTACATGCATTCTATCATTTCATCTTCACACTTACCCTATTAAATAGAGGACTCGTGTCCTCTTTATTTCACAGATGGAAAGCCTGAAGTTCTAAGTGAGTGAAGTAACCCAGAAACACAGCACGTGGGAATTAAGATTGGGTTAGGCTTGGGGCTGCCGGGGAGGCCTGTGCTGATGTTAGACTTGGGGTCACTGCTAGTTCGTCTTGGGAGAGGTCCAAATACAGCTCTAAAATACTGGCTCCTTGGAACTTTCACTTCTGCCACTCTGGGGCTTTTTTCCTACCAAACTGTTGTCAGCTTGGTAATCTACCAAACTAGCATTCTAAATGTTTCCAGAACAGTGAACCAGGGATAATTTTGGGTGACATTGATGGTGCAGTAGAGTCAGGGACTGGGGTTTACATCTCTCGCCTGCCTGGCCTCAGGATGTGACGGATGGCCATGGCATCTGCAGCAGTGTGGTGTGGCTGCTTTCAGACAGTCGAGGGTAAGAGGACAGAAAGGCAATGAGGCGTCTGCTTCTGTGGTAACCAACCATGGACGCGCTAGTCGCGGGGTCTTAGAGCTCCAGCCTTCTCTGTGTCTGTCTAATCAGCACAGGGATGGCCTTGAGATTCGTTACTACTCTGTGGTCTTACAGATTGTGTTAGTCAGCTTTCCATCGCTGTGACCAAAATACCAGGCAAGAGCAACTTCAAGGAGGAAACGTTTATTTTGGACACAGTTTCAGGGTCTCAGTCCATGGTTGTCCAGCTCCAGTGCTCTGGACCCGAGTGAAGCATGGTGGAGGCCAGATCCTCAGTTCACCATAGCCAGGGAGCATGGGGTGGGGGCGGGTGGGGAAGGAGAGGGAGAGGGAGAGGGAGAGGCGGGGGTCAGGGACAGATATAGTCCAAGGCCACACCCCACTTGCTTACAGTTGCCACCCGTTGTCCAAATTATTAATCCATCAAATGGATTAATCCATCAAATGGATTGATCCACTGAGATTACAGCCCCCACAATCTAATTGTGCCACCTTTGAACATTGTTGTGTTGGGTACTGTGCTTTCAAATCATGAGTTTTTGTGGGGACATCAAAGATCCAAACCCTAACAAAGGGGTAGAGGTTAGAAGACCCGGTGACCTGTGATCTTAGTGGCCCTGTAAGATGTCATTGGAGGCACTGTTCATCTCCACACAGCAGGAATCCTGGTACATCTATAGTCATGAAAAGCCCCCAAGTTGTCAAAAGTGATACAAACAAGCTGCTCTCTCTTAGTGCATCTTTAAAATGAGTTACTTCTGAGACGAGACAGACTTACAGTAGGCCTGAAAACTGAACTGTTGTTTCGTTCTGTTTTTTTCTTTTTCGCTTTTTTTAGTTGGTGCATTAAGTTTTGCATACAGCAGTGGGGTTTGTTGTTACATGATTGTGTATAACGATATAATTTGCCAATTTGTTGTCTTATTCTTACAGAATTTGTGACAGGTTAGAATTCTGAGACTTCCGACCTTTTTCTTGGTAAATAGAAACTGAACTTCCTGAAGAGCTGACCCTGCCCCTAGAAGCGCAGGGCTTTCTGGTTTCTTCCTTGGCTAAGAGCTGTCAGAGGCCTTGGTGTTTCTGTAGTCCCCATATGCCTCTCTCCCTGGGTTGCTGACTCTTCTTGAGGCGGTGGCTTCTGCCAAGCTGATGCAGTGAGCGTCAGTTTGGCAATGCTGACAAGTTTTATCACAAACTCTGTGCAGGGACAAAGCCACAGCGGTTGCTTAATTGAAAATTCAGGATTTGTGAGTCTCCTGTAAGGAAGGGCAGGATCCAGGACTGTTGCTGACTCTGAGGTGCATTTGGGGTCCCGTCAGGGGACCTGTTCCTGCCAAGGTCACGAGTGCATGTCTAGTCTTCTGTCAGCCTGGTGGCTGGCCACCTTGCCTTCTCAGCGGCAGTTTGGGTTCTGTCCCGTTCACCTGGGTCTGGGTGGGCTGGCAGTCCTCAGGCTGAGAGGTGCTTTCTGATGGTGCCTGGTGGGATGCAGGCGGGTCTCATGGTCTGGAGAAGCTGGGGTTGCCGTGCCCAAGGTGTCATCCGTCCCGCTCTCGATCCTGGGCCCTTTCCAGTCAGCTGTGCCCAACATGTCCCTGGGGCTCTGCATTTTATCCCAGTGGGCCTCCTGCAGGGATTTTAAGACATTTTAGTTCCTTCTCAGAGAGTGAGGTGGAACCCTGCCAGCTAAGGACAGGAGGACAGCTGTGCCCTTTGTCCACACAGCTTCACGTGTTTATGGACCCAATGCAATCAGGTTAAGAACAGCATTGTGAAAATGCGTCTTGTGGCTCTCTTCTTGCCTTTAAAAGCTAGGAAATGTGAAAGTTCAAATGGTGACTATATTTAACTGCCCGGGCCTGTATTTGTAGGTTGGAGTTGAGCGGTTCTTCAATATACAACAGACTGCTTACTTACCATTTCATAGCAGGATCAATTTTGTTGCTATGAGTAACAGAAGCCCAGAATAAATATTAGGGAGGGTCTGTGATTTCTTAAGTGTTTACAAAATTCCTTATTTAAGAAAAATCACTTATACTGAGGTTGATTGTAGTTTTACCTTTCAGTCACCAAACAACCTTGATGTTAGCATTTTTATGAAACAATGTGGCTAATCTGTCTACTAGAAAGTTGTACATTGTTTTCTACATAGTGCTACAGATCATGGTACCCTGAGCGAGATATCTCAACATTAACTTGCGTGGATACACAGTAGTGAAATAGAGGATATATAAAATCTCTGAAACTATGCATTTAATACTGTAAAATTAGTTTTGAATATACAATAACTTCCTATTTGAGGGGTCTTAACAAGGAAATGAATTCTATAAATACAGTAAATATAATAGTTTTTTTTCCCATTTTTTTTGGTACTGGAGATTAAAGCTAGGAGTACTTAATCACTGAGCCACATCCCCAGCCCTTTCTATTTTTTATTTTGAGAGAGTCTCATTAAGTTGCTGAGGGCCTTGCTAAGTTGCCGAGGCTGGCTTTGAACTTTTGATTCTCTTGCCTCAGCCTCCTGAGTTACTGGGATCAAAAGAATGCACCACCACACCTGGCAAAATAATAGATTTTTGAGGGTTCAATTATGCAGATTCACAATCTATACTCATCAAATTTGTCAGAAACATACAGTAATTGCAGAGGAACATGTGTCATTTCACACACCACACACCGTCCCCTGCCCACACCTGCGCCCCAGCTCCCCCACCCATAGGTGGTCCTGCTCCCTGCTCAGCAGCCCTGGGGAGCTCAGGGTGGCAGGCTGAAGGGCCCGTCCCTGGGTCAGGACGCTCACAGGGATGGTCCCGTGCAGCCGAAGGCCTAGAGAGGTTAAAGCTTCACCAGGGCAAGAGCCAGGCCCTGGCAGGGACATTCAGAGGAGGGACCAAGCGGCAGCCCCCAAGCCACTCTGGGGGAGGCACCCACAGCTCTACCCTGACTGCCCCCGGGGCCTGCGACACGGTGCCTCCTCGTGCCACTCTGGGTGTGCCCCCAGGATGGGCTTGGGCTTATGGCTCCTCTGTCCAGGGTTCCCTTCTGAAAGTGGTGACCGGGCACCATCAGTGTCAGGTCAGGCACAAGGTCTGCCTTTCTGCCCCCCACCCAGCCTCCTCCCCTGGGACCACTCTGGGTCACGTGTTGCCCTTGGGGACCTCCGGAGGGCTCCCTGTCACTGCTCCCTTACACCTTCCCCACTGTGACACCACCACCCACTCTCCCACTGTTGCCAGGAGGCGGCCAAGGAACACAACAGCTGATCCCCACGGAGCACCCAATTTATTCCAAGATCCGTGGGACATGCGAATGGATGAGGAGCTTATTGGGAAGCATCTCTGCCCCAGAGGGTGGGAGAGAGAGCAGAGGAGAGCAGGGCGGGGCACGTGTCCAAGGAGAAGTCCCTGAGGTGGGATCCGGGTGGGGCGCAGGGGCCCACTGGTGTCCGGGTGTCTTCGGGTGTCCTCCTGCCTGAGGGGTCCGGGAGGCGGCGGCCAGGGCAGGTTGCACTTCTCGCTCCAGCAGCTGGCCCTCGTGAGGTAGAACCCGGGCCACCTGTCTGTGGACAATGAGAGGGGCTAGGAGTCAGAGTCGCCCACCCTGTGGCGCCCAGGTGGACCTAACCCTGGTGGCACCCCCCAAGGGCAGAGGGTGTCCATTCATCCTTTGGAAATGACACTCCTCAAGGCACACGTGAGACCCAAGGCAGCACCGCTCCACCTACTTGGCTCCGTGGGCATCTCAGCTGGGCGCTGGCCGGGGAGCCACTCTGTTTTTGAAGAATCTTCTGAGGGCCTGACCTCTGGTGGGGGCAGGTCCCGGGGGGTCCCTGGGTGCTGGTGGTGGCGCGGGCCCTCCAGCTGCGGGAGCCACTCTGTTGGAGCGTCCGGAGCCGGTCCTGGGGGCCTGCACGCAGCAGCACAGCCTCGCCAGACAGGTGGCCATCCTCCGGACCACTCCCCTCCATCCCCTGGCGGTGTCACGGGTCAGGCCAGGGGTCCTGGAGCCAGCAGGGGGTTGCGCGGTGGAGGAGGAGCTGGGATCCGGTGCCAGGGCCTGGGAGGACCCGGGCAGAGGGGCCGTGGGGCCGGGAGCAGGGACGCTGGCCGACAGGCTGCACAGCATGATGGCGGGCAGGCTGGCTCTCCTGCTGCCCACCTGCCCTGAAGGCTTGAGCTCCTCAGGCTGCTGCTGCTGCTGCTGCTGCTGCTGCTCACAGGCCGAGAGGGGCCAGGAGCACATGGCCGGCCTGCTGACGCCCCACCTTGGGCCCAGAGTCAAGCTGGAGGGGATGGACAGGGACGGGCAAGGCCCCACCTGTGGCCACCCAGGCATCTGCAGCCGCACCTGGCAGCCCGCCCCCCGGGTTTTCTGGTGGCCCAGCAGGAGGTAGGTGGCCATGGCCTGGTTGAACTGGCGCGTCGCCACCGACACCCAGGTCTCCTGCAGCCCGTAGCCCAGGTCCAGCATGGCCAGCAGGATGGAGGTGTCCGCGCGCTTGGGGAGCAGCTCGGCGGGAGGACTCGGGCAGCGTTCCCCATCCTGGCTCAGCCACGGGTGCCCCAGGATCTGCTGGAGCGTGGGCCTGTGCGCGGGCTCCAGGGTCAGCATCCAGGACACCAGGCTTTGCGCCTCGTCGGACAGGTGGAGCGGGAGGTGGTACCTGGCCTGCAGCACCTGCTCCTTGGCCTGCTCATAGCTGGCCCCGGTGAACGGGACGCTGCCCGTGAGCATGAGGATCAGGAGGACACCCAGGCTCCAGACGTCCACCGCGGGGCCGTCGTAGGGCTCTCGCCGGTGCAGCTCCGGGGCCCAGTAGGCCACGGTGCCGCAGAGCAGGCCCAGCTTCTCTCCGGCCCTGAACCTGCAGGCCAGGCCGAAGTCGCACAGCTTGGCGCGGCCCGCGGCATCCAGCAGCACGTTTTCCGCCTTCACGTCCCGGTGCGCGATGCCCTGCGCGTGGCAGTAGCCCACGGCGCTGGCCACCTGCCCGAACAGCACGCGGGCCTCGTCCTCCCACAGGCCCACAACCTCCGGGATGTGCTGGCCCAGCTGGCCCCCAGCCATGTGCTCCATCACCACGTAGGCAGTGCCGGGGGTCTCCACGATCTCCAGCAGCTGCACCACGTGCGGGTGCTCCAAGCCCTTCATGATGTCCAGCTCCGACAAGACCCAGGACAAGGTGGCCCCCGCCCCCTTCCGCAGGACTTTCACGGCCACCTTCGTCCCCGTCAGGATGTGTCGGGCCAGGAAGACCTTGGCAAAGCTGCCCTGCCCGACGACCCCCAGGGGCTCATAGCGGCCCGTGAGGGCTTCCTCCAAGGAGGAGCTGGCCGCGAGGTCCCGACGCACCCTCCGCACCACACTACGCTCACTGCTCTCTCTGGACATCCTCCGCCCCACGCCCACTAAGCCCGCTAGCTAAAAACAAACACAACAAACAAAGCAAAGAACACAAGCAAAACTAACACAACAAAGCCCAACAGAAAGCCCCAAATCAAAGAACCAAGCAGAAGAGACCGCAACCAGAACCACCAAACCACCAACCACCAAACGCGCTAACTATGGGAGTCCCACAGGTCACTGCCTAGAGCTTCCTGTGCTTGTGGACAAGGTCCCAGCTTCGTCCCGGCCTTATATCCCCGCTGGCTCAAGGGTCTCACAATGCTGGCCCCTGTGAGGTCACAGCCAGGAGTGGCCCACTCACACCTGGGGGTGGCCCACAGTGGCATCTCCCACCAGGAAGAGACTGGCTCCTTCCTGACCCCAGTCTCTCTCAAAACTGGGATTAAAAGAATGCACCACCACACCTGGCAAAATAATAGATTTTTGAGGGTTCAATTATGCAGATTCACAATCTATACTGATCAAATTTGTCAGAAATATACAGTAATTGCAGAGGAACATGTGTCATTTTTAAGAGAAAATACCAGATGAAATGAAAGGGGGCTGCCAAATGAGAATGACTGCTGCTTTCTGAAACCAATCTTAGCAAATTTATATGACTAAGACCAAAGCTAGTTTTAACTTTTCACCATTTGTATTTTTCATTTTGTTCTGAAATCCTCAACTTTGATTCTTACATCACCTCTGTTTTTAATTCTCAGAAGTGGTGTAAGCAGCAGCATTTTCTGATTCCTATTGAGCAAACTCCTTCATGAGCCAAAACTGCAGAATCAAAGTACTGTAAAGGATAAACAACCAGAGAACAGGCCCTGGGGAGATGGCCATAAGGTTCCAATCTACAATCCAGCAGGGGACCAGGGTCCTGAGGGGCAGAGTGCTGGGGGCGGGGCACAGGAGCAGAGGAGAGCGCCTTCACTTCTTACTTCTTTCCTTACTGTATGCAGAGTCTCCTAGAAACTGGAAGGATCTTAACCATCATCTAATCCAGGCTTCTTAAGGCCAAGAGGAGTTAAAGAACTTGATCCAAGATACAAGTTGGTGAGGGATCAAGGCAAAATTGGGTCCAGGTTTCCTGGCCAGCAGTAGCCTCCGTGACGGGAAGCAAGGATCTCTAACTTGGAACAGCCACCTGCTCTGGTTTCCTAGGACCCAGTCGTGGATAAAGTCAATAACCCATGTTCTGTTATTTTGGCTCCTGGACTGGGTTTTCTCCGGTCTCATTTCTCTGTATCTCATTTAGCTTTTGCAATGACACTGAATTGTACATTTTCATTGTACACTCACTATAAGAGTTTCATTTGTGCCACAGCTTAGCAGATGTTTACTGATCACTTATGACATACCAGCTGTAGACACAGCTATAGGCTCAGAATGGGACTATGGTCATGTGGCCTTTATACTCTGGTGAACACAGTTTTACATAAACACATATATGCATTTGGACATGGTAGAGCACAAAAATAAATGCAGTGCTTTTTCATATCAAGCTAGAGTTACTGTATCCAATTACTTGAGAGGTTCTTTTTTTGCAGTAGTATTTGAATTCCTGGGGTCAGTTTTTTAAAATTCTTATTTTTACTTCAATTGACACATTGTAATTTCATGTATTTATGGGGTACAATGTGATAATTCAGTACATGTGTACAATATGTAATGATCAAATTGAGATAAAGTTTCTTAAAAAAATAAAATTTAGTTTTATAATAGTGTTGAGTTTATAAAAACTCAAATACCATGGGTAAAAATAGTATAGAAAATTTCTCCATATTCCATGCCATTTCTCCTATTTCAGGGGTCCACTTGTTAGGACTAACAAATCAATGTCGATACAGAGTTTTGCCTAAATTCCATATTTTATGCATTTTTTTCTTCGCTCTTACTTAGTGATCCCATCCAGACACCAGATTCAGTCATGGTGTCTCCTTTGTTCCTTCTGGGTGGTGGCAGTTCCTTAGCATTCCCTAGTTTTGATTCAGGATGGCCTCCACTTTGCCTGACCTTCTTCTTGGGGTGGGAGGGTTGAGAGTGTTTGGGAAGAAGGCCTTGGGAGTAGGGTCCTTCTGTCCTCAGGCCTTGCTCTTTGGCTGTGGTGGTCTTTGCCTTCACAGTAGAGTTGCTCTTCCCTCCCTGAACTCTGGGGAAGGAAGTCCCCATGCAACAGTTTATGCCTCAGGACGGGGCCTTAGGGTTTCTACCATCTCCTGGAGGGAGCCATGTCTGTGTAAATTATTTATTTTATTTTTTTATGAGAAATTGGTTTATTGTCCATTTCGTTTTTATTTTTATGTTACTAGGGATAGAACCCAGGGTGCTTTACCACTGACATCGCCTTTTCTTATTTTGAGACAGGGTCTTGCTAGGTTGCCCAGGCTGGCCTTGAACTTGTGATCCTCCTGCTTCAGCCTTCTGAGTCACTGGGATTACAGGTGTGTGCCACTGCACCGGCTCTCCACTTACTGTTTTTTAACCTAATCACTTATTGGTGTGTATTCAGGGACTCTTTACATTATGATCTAGTGTGTGTTCTTCCCTTGCTGCTCTGGTGGCTGTAGTGTGGCCGTTGGAGGTCTGGTTGGCTCCTGAGCCCTCTGACAGAACCCTGTCCAGGTGTTTCCTTCAAGGCCTTCATGGTACGGCCCGTGTGATGCTGCAGTCCCATTACACTTCCTACTGCAGCCTAGAACGAGCCTTTTCTCCCAGCAGGCCAGCTCCTTTTTGTGCTCGTTGGCACCGAGGTCTTTGCTCAAGCCCTGTCAGCTGGCCGAGAGGGAAGCATGTGCACAGCTGTGCACCTATCCTCAGAGGCTCCTGCGTCCCACCTCTGGATCTGTGTGAACTAAATGCCAGTTGGCTCTTCCTCACGTCTTCAACCCCAGTCCATTAGTGCCCATTAGGATTTTGGCGGTTGCCACCAGCTCTTAGGATCAGGTTTTCATATGTATAAATATGTCACATCACTTAATTTTCTTGTTGAAATTTCAAGTATAGTGGGCTGGGGTTGTGGCTCAGTGGTAGAGTGCTTGCCTAGCATGTGTGAGGCACTGGGTTCGATCCTCAGCACCACATAAAAATAAATAAAATAAAGGTACATAACAACTAAAAAATATTTAAAAAATGGAAATTTCAAAGTATACACTTACTAGAAAAACCAGATCAAACTATTTTAAGTGTTAGGTATAATTTCTCATATTAGGTTCTTCTCTATTCACATACCCAATACCAAGGGGTTGAACTCCCAGTACCATCTTAAAATCATTTTCAGTGTTAACAAAGTATTATTGGGCCCCTTCTAGGGCTCTGAGCTGAGCTGGTCGTGTGGACAGACTCTGGGGAAACCTTGAGGTGTTGCCTACAACTAAAACAAGGATCTTGGGACTGGGGTTGTGGCTCAGCAGTAGAGTGCTCACCTCACATGTGCGAGACCCTGGGTTCAATTCTCAGTACCACATAAAAATAAATAAGTGAAATAAAGGTATTGTGTCCAACTACAACTAAAAAATAAATATTAAGGAAAAACAAAAACAAGGATCTCCACATTCCTTTTGGGGTTCCTTTCCTTTTAGGCTTAAGAATAATGGTGCATTAGGATTACAGTTCATAACACATTTTATAGCATGCCCAATTCATGAGTACTTGTCAACATTCAGTTAGCATTAGTGAGAGGGGAAGAAGGCTAAGGGATGTGTCTGTTGATAGTAGGTGCTCAATGAGTGCTCATCTGCTCTGGACATGTAATATTCATCTAAACATGTGCAGAACGGATTCCTGCTCCTTCTGTAAGATCTTTTCCACCCGTGGCCATTCCCTTCTCAGCCAATGGCCAGTCTAATGTTTAGGCACAGGGACTTCTGTGCCACTCATGACTTGTGTTTCCCTCACACTGCACTTTCCCTCTGTCAGGAGACCCTTTCACTCTATCTTCCAGATCCAGAAGTTTCTTACACCTCTGTGGCCACCACCGCCACCTAAGCCTCCCTGCTCTCTGCCTGTGTTGGATTGCCCCTGGCCTCTATTTTGGCCCCCTGTGGTTTTGGTAGTGAGGGTAATCCTGGAAAAATGTCAGTTCATGGCACTTTTCTTCTCCAAAGCCCAGCAGCTTTCCCTTTTCCCATGGATCTTCTAAACTCACTGGCTGCTGTTCCCATCTTCCAGACCTCTGCTTCCTCTGGTCCAACGTGCTGCCCACAGGCACTTCAGGTGTGGAGTGTACGAAGTGGTCAGCAGCCATGAATTAAGGGGTCCCCAGTTCTCAGGCCCACATAAAACCAGGTCTTGAAAGCAAGGCACAAGCTGTGGCAGGCCCTCAGAGGCCACTCACCCACCTCTCTTCAATGCTCCTCCAAGACCTCCATTTTCTTAAGTTTGAAATGGTGAGCAAACCCTGTGACAAGGAAAAGAGCTCTGTGCATGTGTTAGAGGGTCAGAGAATCACATCGCATAGTCAGCTCACAGGGACACTGAGGCGGCAGCCACTCAGGACTGTGAAGACTTAGAAGGCAGAGGCTGAAAACTGCATTTTCATTGGACCACTTTTCTTGAGATGTTGGCTCTATTACACATTAAAAAATAATGCAGTTTGTTATTAAGTATGAAATACTTGTTTAGTGAATTTACTGAGTAAGTTTACATTGTGGACAAAGTACAGATGCAAATTTCCCTTCCCTCCACTGATTTTTTCAGAGGTACAACTAGCTTTTGTAAACTAAAAACAGTTTGTTGGTTCTCTGATGTATTTACTTAGTTCCTGGTATTGTTTCTTTTCTCTGAAATACTAGAAGCTGGCTCAAAAGGCAAACGTGACTGGCAGGGTGAGAACTTCGGCCAAAAATCGTAGGGAGTGCCATCCAGCAAGTGGGATCTCCAGGAAGTGGACAGCAGAGTGAGCATGTGACTGGGAAATGCTGTTAAGTCCCCCTCTGGGGAATGCCTTCGAGGCTTAGTGCTGACCTGTCACATTATTTTATAAATTCTATGACTTTTGCTTTCTTTTTTTATTTCACTTTTATTCATGATCTTAAACCTGGAGTAAACAAAGGGGAAGACATTTAATCAATGACACAGAAAACGACAAACTAACAAATTGACTTCAGTTTACACAAAATGCATATATTCGTCTGTTTCCTGTTGCTATGGTGAAATACCTGGGGCTGGGTATTACATAAAGAAAGGAGGATTATTTGGCCGCCTCTGCTGGAGGCTAGAGTCCTGGGCTCCTCAGTGTGCTTCTTGCCACTGGGTGTGTCCCTCCTTGGGCATCCTGTTTTGTGTGTGGGAGTTCAGGCCTGAACAGTGTGGTTCCTGTTCCATCCAAGTGGTCTTGCAGCTACCCTCACCTTTTATTTCAGGAGGAAAGGACAGGTCCTTGAACTCATCCCCTTGCAGAAATGTGCTGGCTGTGCCTTGCTGACAGTCTGCGTTCTGACCTGTGTGCCCTGCAGAGCTGGCTCTGACACAGTTTGGCCTACTGAGTCTTGCTCCCTTGACTGCCCTGCTGAACCCAACCAAGTCCACTGCTGCTGGCTGGACAGACAAGACACTATCCTATCATGAATATTCAACATGAAAAAATAATAACAAGTAATTCTTCCTTTATTTTTCAGAAATGTGTTACGGACGAGTGTTTCTTTTTTGAACGACTGGAATCAAATAACTACAATACTTACCGGTCAAGGAAATACTCCAGTTGGTATGTGGCCCTGAAACGAACAGGGCAGTATAAACTTGGATCCAAAACAGGACCTGGGCAGAAAGCTATACTTTTTCTTCCAATGTCTGCTAAGAGCTGATTTTAATGGCATAATCTAATCTCATTTCACAAGAAAGAAGGAAGCATATTTTAGAATCTGTTAAGAGAAAAAGAAAATTATATACAGCACAGTTTAGATAACACGTCAGACAGCTTTTTATCTAATATTTAACCATTGCCTCAGTAAAGAAACACAACAAACAATTATAGAAAATGTGTAAACTTTCTCTTTTTATATAGCATCTGCTGTTACTCAATGAAGATTACCTAGATTATGTTTTTCTTACATTTATATTATTTGAAAAGATTTTAAAGTGTCTTTACATGTGAATTTTCAACAAGGAAATCATAGGCATTAGAAAATTACCATCAAATATTTAATAATCCCAAGTGTTCATGACATTTTATAATCTGGCATATATTAATCAACATTGACAGTTTCCTTAAAATTTCCAACACACGTCGGTGTGGGTTCAGTGCGCTCCTGTCACAGTGCACACTCCTCTGGCAGTTCCCTGTGATAGAGCTTATACAGCAGGCCTGTGGACGCTGCCGGAAGCTCCTCCATGGTGAGGTCTACCTTGTCAAACCCTTCTCTGTGCCCGTAGAGCAGCAGCCTGGCCACTCTGCTGGTGATGGGAGTTGTGTTTCCAGCCCTGACCAGGTCCACCAGGTCCACCCACTCGCACCTGAGACACTCCTGCGGGCAGCAGTTGATGGTGAAGGAATGTGGCTGGAGGCGGCAGATGATGTACATATCTGACTTCCCGAAGGCTGTGGGAAGGCTGTGCTGCTGTCGAATACTCAGGAGGGACCTGAATTCTGACTTTATACCAGTCTCTTCAAAAACTTCTCGAACTGCTGTATCTCCTACATAATACAGATGTGCAGATTGTAAGGATCACAATTTTAGACACATCAGCTTTGAAGATTTGTAGTTAAAAATCTCAAAGTCCAGAAGCAAAACTTTTGGTTGGCTGCTTTCGATACTAACTCTAACTTCTGGATGTCCTGAAATACCAAAATTATTTCACTACTTTACACCGGAGATGCTTTTGATATACTATTTCTTTGGCTGGTTGCTAACTGGAGGCTTATTCACTTTTTTTTTTTTAGGGTTACATCTTTTAAACCTCTTCCTGCTCTGTTTCCCAAAAGGTAAAAGCATAGGTTGCAAAAGTTAAAACATGTTGCAAAGGTGCAGATAATACTTGGACATATTTCTTCTTTATTATCCTGTTCCTGATCGTCCATGAAAGCTGCCTAAACTTACATATTGCAGAACTGAGCAGAAGTGGTCTGTTCTTCCCTAAAAGTCCACAGAGCTGAAAAATGGGTCAAGTGAACTATGAAATGATTCTGATTTCTCCTGGTGATCCCAGGTGGGACTGTCAAGCCTCTGGTCACCGAGCAAATGCCCTGTGACCATTTTGTTATGCTTCTCTAGTAATGTGGCAGTGAGATCCCACTGCAGGAAGTTTTGGCATTGCCTTTGTTTCCTGAGATAAGACTTCAAAGAGCTTGGTCTCAGTCTTTTAATACCAAAAGGCAATAGATGTTCATCAGTTTTCAAAAGGCTAGGGATACATAAAATGTATCATATAGCCAGATGTGGTGGTGCACGCCTGTGATCCCAGCAACTGGGGAGGCTAAGGCAGGAGGATCCCAAGTTTGAGGCCAGCCTCAGCAACTTAGCAAGTCCCTTTCTCAAAATAAAAAAGAACTGTGGGGCTGGGGTTGTGGCTCAGCGGTAGAGCACTCATCTAGCACGGGTGAGGCCCTGGGTTCGATCCTCAGCACCACATAAAAATAAATAAAGATATTATATCCAACTACAACTAAAAAAAATAAATATTTAAACAAAAATAAAATAAAAAGAACTGGGGAATGTGGCTCAGTGGTAAAACACCCCTGTGTTTGATCCCCAGTACTAAATATATAAATAAACTACATTAAAAATTTATAATAAGGGTCTTCATTTTCTAGAAGGTTAATTTTTCAATTAAATGCAAAATTTCTGTGGCAGGATTTTTATTACTATTACCATATTTTTGAGGTGTGTTCCCTGAATATCCTGAAAGACCACCTAAATGGGTTTTACCCAGCTTTGTGATGTTCTGTCATTGTCTCTGGAAGCATCTATGAGAAGCCCTTAAAGATCTGCCTTCCTTGACGGCTTCTCTGGGAGGCTCACTTGCCACAGACAGGCTGTTGTTCAGACACCTTGAAGTGCCTTCACTATGTTGTCAGTGACTTTGCCTTCTTAGTGACTCTTCTGGTAAAAAAGAGGAAGGAAGAGGAAGCTGAGAAGAGCAGGCCCCCCTGCTGCTCCGGTCCTCTGCTCCTCTTCAGTGCCCTGGATGTGCTCCCCATGCGCAGGAAGAGTGCGGCCTTCTCAAGTTAACCTATGACTTCCCCTATTCAGATCTGCCCATAGTCTCAGAATGACTAGTTTTACATTTTAAAACTGAAACCACTGGGGCGGGGCTTGTGGCTCACTGGTGGAGTGCTTGGCTGGCATGTGCAAGGCCCTGGGTTCAGTTCCCAGCACTGCAGGGAGAAGAATGTGGAGGTGGTGGGGTTACAACTGAAGGCACAGAAGAATAATCTAGGTTAAAAAAATTCCTTAGTATGAAACTTTAATCTGTATACAGTATATATTTGTTATTAAAGTGATTATTAAAGTTGGTGGCACTGGTCTTAAAATTTTAGATAATGCCCCTAACTCTTGTTCATATCTGTACTTTTATTCTTTAAATGCTCTGAAAAATATCCTGGGGACGCTGTCTAGCTCCTAGTAGCACTAATAAGAAGCTGGGTACTGAGCTCATGAGTTCAGGCCGTCTGCAGGCCCAGGAAGCACAGGGCAGGGTGCTGAGCAGGCTGTCCTGCTTGAAGTCAGTCAGCACTGCCTGGAGAGTTCTGACCAGTCTCACAGTAGTACCATCACTGACCACTCCTGAAAATGGAAGGGCAAACAAGTGCTTCCACCTCTGGACTTTTGGAGATCCCTTCCACCTCAAGATGAAAATCTCTTCCTCAAGGATTTTCAACATGAATTTAATTTTTTTTTTTTTCATCAAGATCAAGTGACTTGTTCTGTTGTGCCTTTAAAGTTATTTTAATATACTGTAACCTCAACTGAAGTAAGATACACTATTTGACAAGTGTGAAGAACATAGGAAAAACTAGTACGCTTTTGTTTTTATTTTTGCTGATTAAGAGATGTGCGTAGCTGGGCGTGGTGATGCACACCTGTAATCCCAGCAACTTGGGAGGCTGAGACAGGAGGATCACAAGTTCAAAGCCAGCCTCAGCAATTTAGTGAGACCCTGTTCAAACTTAAAAATAAAAAAGGTCTGGGGATGTGGCTCAGTGGTTAAGTGCCCCTGAGTTCAATCCTTGGTACCAAAAAGAAAAAAAAAAAAAAAAAAGAAAGAAAGAAAAAAAGAAATGTGTTTGAATATGTCATCGTAATGTTTTGTTGTTTAATTAGAGGAAAGTGATGAAATGCAGTTTATACTTGTTATTTCTAAATTGTAATATTTAATAATAGGGCGAGGTTGAAATGAAATAAAGTAATAGGAAGAATTCTGTGGAATGTGGGCTTTCATGGCTCTGGTGCACTGATAATCTTTGTGACTACAGATCGACAGAGGAAATGGCATTTCCAGGATGGCAGTGTGTCTATTTTAACTTCACAGATGCCTTTATACCACAGTCTGTAGGACTGTATTCTACTTTGTATATGTATGGCCCTCTTACTTTCTGAAACACTACAGAGAACTCTGTTTGTCTCATGTAGTATCATCAAAGAATGAAAGATTCCAAACAAACACATTTCCCAGTTAATCAGTATATTTACTGGGACTCAACAAAGAGTCCAGTCTGGAGCCAATAGAAGTGTTTGTGTGTGTGTGTGATGGAAGTCTTCCTACAGTATGTTACTTTCCTGAATGTAGGGTTTAAGGAAAATAATCTACATAATGTCTGGATGATTTGGCTTCATTATCAAGAATATTCTCTTGTACTGTTAGAAAAAAGAAATACCCTCACACAGACATCTTTCAGACCTCTACTGTCAGGGGTCATTTCTAGCTGCTCTTGGGTTTTATCACATAGCTTAATTTATACTACACCCAGGTAGGAAGATGAATGACAGTTGCTGCTTTTTTTCTTGTTCCACATGACTGAGGTATGTGTATAATCTCTGGATGGTGGAGTGTGATAACCACAAATACTTTTGAAAAGTGCATTTTTAATTTTTAATTTGACTTAAAGGTTCTGGATTATACTTAAACCTAAACTTAATGTACTTAGCTTAGAAATGTGTATTTCTTCATTTATATTTATATGTAAGTCTGACATTCAAAGGATCCATGAAAGTTCAAAGGAAAAAAAGTGGATTCATTTGTGAAGGCAAGCCTCAGAAGGGGAAGCCACAGAAGCTCCCCAGACGTCCCCCAATGGTCAGGATAAGAATGCAGGGCGTGGCTTCCCTAGTCCCCACAATGCCCAGGCCTCACGCGGATGGTAATTAGAATAGGGTAGCCTTACAGAGTAAATGACCTTCTCTTTTAGTGCTCACTCCTCAACAAAATACTCCTATGCCACCAGCACACCTAGCAGAACCTAAGCAAAAGGTCAGTAAGTTCTTCAACCCAAGATCTGCTGTAGACACACCTAAGTGTGATCAGTTTACTGGAAGATGTTAGGAGTTGGCTATGCAAGGCACAGAGGGCATTCTGATCTGTAATAACATTTAAAAATCAAGTTTCAAGAACACACACATTTTAATTTTTATAGTAACGGGGATTTAACCTGGGGTGCTCTACCACTGAGCCATATCCCCAGACCTTTTTATTTTTTATTTTGAAACAGTTGCTTAGGGCCTTGCTAAAATGCTAAAACTGACCTCAAACTTGAGAACTTCCTGTCTCAGCTTCCAGAGTCGCTGGGATTATAGGTGTACATCACTATGCCTTGACTTTAAATAAAAGTAAGTTCAGTAAATTGCCATAATGTATTCCTGACTAAAGAGAATAGGGGACGTGCCTGTTAAGGAAGAGGTCTTGGAGAAATAATGTTAGTATCAAATGAAATTTTTAGTGATTACGATGACACTGAATTTGATCCAATGGCTTAAGAATAGACAAGAAAATTATTTTTACTCTTTTGTTTCCTATAAATTAGTGGCATAGAGAATTCTCAGATTAGTTCCTATTTCTCTGTGTTAAATGTTGAGCTCAGTAAGTTATTTTAGGGAGCTATTTCTCATTTGAGACTGTCTCATGATATTTTACTGTTCTGGCTTCCTACGTACTCAAAATAAATAGTAGATAAAATTCTTATAAAGAGAAGAATTACATCATTTTAGCTCTATAACTGACTTTATTATATTGATTCAATGTTAAATTTAAGTTATTATTCACCTTTCTGTGATATAATGGTCCAAAATTTGTGTTTTCTTGTAGTTTAACTCCAACATCAATTTTGGTCATATTCAGAATAACCCTTAATGCTAAGCTTTACTCATGGATACCTAAAGCTTTCATACAAATTAATCTAGAGACAGTCCTAAACAGAACAGGTGTTAAGTTCCTAATGGTATTCCTCAAACTAACGGAATAAACTGAAATGCTAGAAATGTTGCTGCTAATTTTACTGAATTAGTAATCTCTCTGACTTGGTCTGAAGAAATTAGAAAATTTACATTCTTATTCTTTGATACAGAGCAAGATAAAGTAAGCACGTGATTTCCTCAGTATTTTCAAGCTACTTATAATATGTAAGATACATACCAACATCTTCTCCAGGCTCTGACAGGCCTCCTGGAAACTTCCACATATTTTTCACCTGCAACATCAAGCAGAAAAAAACGTTTACGTAGCATTTGTTCAGTAACACACAGACGCACACACCTGCAGGTGCCAAAACACCCAGCGCTGGTCCAGGCAATGAGAACTCACTTTTTCCAGTTTCCCTCCTTTGCTGAGGAGGAGCTAGTGACTTATGAAATCTTTCTCCACCTTTTTCTTCAGGAAATAGAAGTAATTTTATTTGGTTAATGTGATAAAATTTGTATTAATGAAACTTTGGAGGGAAATATCTACTGCATTTGTGTAACTTAAATTTCACTGCTAGTTAACTATGAACAAATAGGAGAATCTTACAGATGCTGCTATAATTAAGTAGAAAGCACAGAATAAATGTAATCACTAAAGGATGCTATTAATTTTCATATCTATTTACTGTATTGTATTTCTAATCAGACATACTACTCTTAAGATTCTGTTGTCTACATCAACAATTTTATGTAAAAATGTAATTGCTTTTCATGGGTAGTATGAATAAAATTGATCAGATTGTGTTTTCTGTCTATCATTTCTTTGTGTTTTCCCAGAACACTGCTTTTTCTGGTGGGGAAGGGCAGGTAGGAAGCTCTGATCATTGGGATAGCATAGAGTAACTTAGAAATAGACCACAGGTGGTTATGAGATGGCATGACAGTGTTCCTGTGGCTGTCAGGATTGCTGTTTCCTTCAGAGCTCTGTTCTATGTATCCATCCCCACAAGGAAGCTGAAGAATGGCCAGCACTCTGCACACTCTTCATGCACAGAAGGAGCTGTGGCCCTCCTGCTGGCGAGCTTGGTGGCCCACGCATTTCCTGAGGAGAGCTTCCCCAGGATGTGTCACTTCTTAATCATGCGAGCTTGGACACCAGTGGCAAGATTCCCAGGGCTTCCCAGACTGCTGGTTAAGTGGGTGCAGCGTTCAGGCCGCCCACCTTTCCGCATCTGGCTCAGGCAGGCTCAGTGTTGGTTTACAAAGTAAATTATGCTTCACTTTGTTAGTGCAGAGAATCCATCTCCGAGTCTCTACCTCAGTACACTGTCCTGGATTCCACTTCAAAATAGTTTCAGCAGCTTTGCTTCTGTAGAAACTTCACAGGCTTTTGTCTGACCACCAACATAAATTCTATCTGCAGCAGCAAAACATGTTATAACTGGGTAGACAAATGTTTAAAAGAACAATAAAAGTCAACTTTCAAAATATTTGCCTAGACTTTACTATAAATGATTGGAGACTCTATCATATTTGGAGATAGAAACTTGTCAGAAGGGGGAAAATGCTGGACAGAAGGATTGAAAACAGTTTACACAAATCTGATTTTTTAATAAGGCTTCAGTATGGAAAGATCAGGTATATTTTATGCTGGTAAATAGGTGTGACATTTCCTGATATCACTTAGGTTTAAAGAGCTTATTTTAAAAAGTTTCCTTCTCCCAAAGTCTGGGTTTTTGAGCCTGGGGTCTAAGTGGTGGGTGGAGAGGCCTGAGTCATGTGGTTTGAAAATGATTGAGCAACAGCAAGGCAGGCAGATCTTCCCATTCTCTTTATATTAAAACACTCAACAGGGTTAGTAATGTTAAAATAATGCTAAAATATTAGCTAGTGTGTACTGAATGCTTACCATGTTCTAGACACTCTGCTAAATGTTCTTGTAAGAATTAACACATCTAAACTGCACAGAAATCCAACAAGAGTCTGTTATTCCCAATTTAGAGGTGATAAGGATTAGTCACTGGTCTGGAGTCACAGCTAGTGTGGGTTCAAGTCCAGGCAATTTGATTCTAACCATTTCTTTTAAGAAATTTGAAAAGCTGATTTGAGACTTCTCACTAACACTTAGCTATGTGGTTTTTCATATACCTCTGGTCTTCTCCTCATACTAACTGGAATATTTTGTGTACATCCAATCAAAATCTATATCTTAGACCTGCACTCCCCTAGTATATGTGAATTTAGATTAAAACTGAGGGCAGTGTTGAATGTGTTACCTGTTGCCTGTGATATTACCTAGCAGTGATTTATTATTATTCTATCTTTCTAACTTCTTTCATGAGGGAAAAAACCTACTGAGGATAAGTTTGGAAGATTTAGTCTCCTTGAATTGGCTACATTTTAAATCTTTGTTCTCTTTTCCTATACAAAACATCTCTCGGATTCCAAGTATAATATTCTACTGTACTTAATTCCCCGATCGTCATAAAGGAACTTTTCACTCTCTTTTAAAAGAAATGTTTTTCTCAAATGTTCTTGTGCCTAGAAGCTCTGTTTGAACTATTCAATCTTCACAACTGTGACCCCCTCCCTGCTTTAGGTTGGTGAGGTCATCTAGGTCCTTAAGCATACCAGAAAAGGTAAATTATCTTTTTAAACTTATTAAAATGTATGATTTCAAACAATACTAGAGTAGTTCTGTCATAATTTGGAATGGTGGTGGGAGGACAAATTTTCTTATGCATTTGCTAGTTACAAATCTAATGTGTCAGGCTGGGATTGTGGCTCAGTGGTAGCGCACTTGCCTAGCATGTGTGAGGCACTGGGTTTGATTTTCAGCACCACATATAAGTGAGTAAAATAAAGGTCCATCAACAATATATAAAAATTTGACGTGTGTGTGGAAAACAGAAGACTGTAGGAGAGGTAAGGATGGTCTCCTGGATTCCTTTGCAATCCTCCCCTTCCTAGAGTTAGTAATTGCAAGTTCAGGAACTAGGCATTTCAGGTGTTGACAAAAGGCACTCTGCTAATACATTTTTCACTGATACTAACAGAAGGTTAGATACTTTCTCTGCAATTTCAAATTTAAGAGTGCTGTTTCTTTTACATTTGTCCTGAAGACAAACTCAAATCTATTTTAAGGTTTTTAGGATAGGTGAAAGAGCATGATTCATTTTCTGATCCCTTTTTCTCACTAGTTTCTTAATTCCATAGACATTTTCTGTTTTCCTGAGCAGAGGCTTAGCTAGGACATTGTTCCCTGGATATGGTTCCTGAAATCCTAACCAGAAGTTTCTGTAACAACAACCCCAAAAGACTACTAATTTCTTTGTTTCTTTTTTCTTGGTACAGGGGAATCAGACCCAGGGCCTTGCACACAAGCCTCTACCACTGAGCTATAACCCCAACCCTTTAATAAAAAAAAAATTTCTTTTGAGACAGGGTGTTGCAGTGTTGTATAAGCTGGTCTTGAACTTGAGATCCTCCTGCCCCAAGTCCCGGTAGCTAGGATTACAGCTATGCACCGCTGGGCCTGGTTTACTACAGCCGTGCACCGCCGTGCCTGGTTTACTAATTTCTTTCAGTCATATCTCAAGAACCTGGAACAAGGGCACAGACTTGCTTGCCTCTTCCCTTTGGTTCTCTTGTATTATTTTAACTTCTTGTTCTGCCTTTATTCCTACCTGGCTAGATACCAGAAATCTGGTTATCTTTTATCACCACTGTCTAATCTTGACTCCACCATACTCACTTTCTAGGATTTGAACCTGGTGTATTGAGATTAATCTCATTATCTACAATATTATAATCACCAATGACTTGGAAGCTACCATCAAATCTCTCATAGTTTGGCTGATTCATTCAACAAAAATTTTGAGTGCTAGCTGCTAGGTGTACAGAAACTAATGTATAATATTGCAAACCAGTCGTTCTCTTTATCACTGCTCTGTTTATTTTTTGAGTAACACATCTCCATCTTATGTATTCATTTTATTATTTGTATCAATGTATTTGACTGTCAGCTCCAGATGTAGAAACTCTGCATTGTTTACTAATTTATGCCCAGTGCTTAAAAGGCCATACAGCACAGTATGAAAAGGAACCCAGTAATATTTAATAAATCAATGAATAGGCCTCTAACCTGAACACAGTATGTTAGCACTCAATTTGTAAGGTCAAGCCACTGGTAGATCTTTTTATTACTCAAAGCCACGGGGTTGGGAAGGAGAAAGGACACACTTTAAATGTCCTGTTAGGTCTGTGTTTTGAGTGTGTGCATATAATCATTCTGAGGGTTACATTTTTTCTATAAAAAACACTTCACAGGCCTAGGATGTAGGTTAGTGGTACAGCACTTGCCTAGCATGTGCAAAGCCCAGACTTGCTGGCAGCTGGAAGTTTGCTGGGGCCCCTTTGGCTGTGGCTCTCAACATCTCCCCCTCTCTGTTTAAACAACAAGCATGTGGCTTAGGGACCGTGCCTGTTAGGCAGTCCAATTCAACATATGGTCCTTACCCGTCATCGGATGAACTGACCTCTAGGCGTCAGCCTCCTGTCTTAGGTTGGTACCACTGCAATTGGATCATACCCGTCACTGACTACCGGTCCAGCATACAGCCATACTTGTGGATAGGCCTTTGCACCTGTGGGGGGGTGAGGTTCTTTGCCTCACCTCTGTTGGCCCCCAAATTTTAGATGTGATTTATAGTACCACACACATGCTTTTAAAAACAAAACAAAAAACTGTAAAGGAGAAAACTGGCTTGAATGTCTGAAAATAATTCTAATTATTTATAATATATAAAATTTATTAATAAGTACTTGTTCAATTATGTTTAAATTCCATATAATGCCAAAATATAGTAAATGATTCCTTTTCTCACTATTTTTGTTGCTAAAATAGACATCCATACTTGATTTGCATATTTTGTTCTTAAATGGATCACTGCTTATAACTTAAAAAAAATCAAAACTCTATTTAAAATTATCATTCTTACTTACTCTGCAAAGAAACCACTATTATAACATAATATCAATCTGCCTAGCTTCTACCAGTGCCAATGTTCTACGAATGTGGGGGGAACGTGAAAACCTGACTAAATCTGAAGCAGCACTTTCTCAAACCGATGACTGGCAGGTCTGAACACCAGCAGAATTTGGAAGCCCAAGTTGCTAGCTCAGCTGCTCTCAGACTTCACAGCACAAGCACCTGGAGGCTGATTGCTGGGCTCCCCCTGCAGAGCAGCAGAGTCCACAGGTGGGGTCTTCTGTCAGTACCCAGCTTCGTGATGCTGGCACAGGACCTCTGTTAACCAATCTCTGCACTGCCAGGTGACTCCCTTTCAGGCTCCACCAACAAACTCCAAGTCTGGAGAAGGGTGACAGTTATTTCCTGTACTCTCCTGTGCTGTGGTTCCTGGGCACACCATTCCTGCAGTCTGCTTTGCTGCCAGCAGTTCTTTCCTAGTATCAGCAAAATCCAGTTTGCAGTTTTCCTCACATCTGGCAGACACCAGGACTGGGTAAGTAGCACTTCCTGTGAGGGATTTTGAGTTTGGGTGATGTATCTTCCCAACTGGAGGGACCCACAACCCACCAGAATGGCATAAGTTACATTGAAGACATCTGAGATACAGCCGATGGCAAATGAGACATTTTCTGACCTTCCTTTATCCTATTAAAGGCAGAGATTTCTGAGAATGAAGCTGCTATTAATCTAGGATGTGTAGAGTAGAGGGAACTTGGGGGAGAGGTGGGAGCTTTCAGCTAGGCATTAGGCTGATCATTAATTAGCACCTAGA